AAGGTTGCTGATTTAAATCCTGTGGTCAGCAGAATGATACAAGGCCCTTATACCCAATTCCTACAGGGACTGCCTGACCCTACTTTCTCCTCTATGCCAGTTCCATGAGGTGGCCTCCAGGGATGCTATTCCAGCTGTTCTGAAGTTGCCACATATATTCTAAACACTGACTTATCACTTTACCTTCACCATCTGGTCAAAATCCTCCAAATCCTACTGTGATTTGGTCAGGTGGCCAGGTCATATGATGTGACTCTATGACTCTCCATTGTAGGCAGCTTGGCGTGTCTAAACTTTTGGCTCATCCTGTACCCACAATGTGTATGTGTGTCAGGGTCAGCATCTGTCCAACCCTATCCTTCATGTCTAATCCCTCTTTGGCCAGCAGGTGTGAGTACCTACTCTGGTCAACGATGAAAGAGTAGAGGAAGAATAGTAGTAGTAGCTATGGTGAGCAGCTGTATGAGGAGGGTTGCAGGTTATCTATGTCAAATTTTTTAATACAGTCCAGACATTATACGGTATTTTAAAAAGCAGCACATTTCCAGCACTTTGAAATCTTGGCACTAAAATTTGCTGAGTGGGTAGGTGGGGGTGTTTCTCCTTAATTTTGTCCTAAGGATTTCAAAACAGTAGCAGCACAGTGGTGCAGTGGTTAGCGCTGCTGCCTCACACTTCTGGGAGCAGGGTTCGAGTCTTTACCCGGGCTCCCTGCATGTTCTCCCTGTTTTGTTGTGGGGTTTCCTCTGGGTATTCTGTCCTCCCCCCAAGTCCAAAAACATGCTGATGCTTATTGAAGTTACCAAATTACCCATAGGTGTGTGACTGTGCCCTGTGATGGGTTGGTGCCCCATCCTGGGTTGTTCCCTGCCTTGTGCCTACAGGTTCTGGATCCTGCACAGGACAAGTGCTTTCAGAAAATGGATGGATGGATTTCAAAATACTTTGGTATGCCTTATTAGCATAATTCCGCCCAAGTCTTGACTAGTAAATGAACAAAAGTTTACCCCTTTCACTACACTGCATCTTTTTGTGTTTGTTGCAATACATCAGCCCTCTCCTGGTCTGGTGGAATATCACTGCTGTATGACTGCAACGTCTGCGACCTTCCGCATCTGCAGCCAAATGTGCCTCGCGGATGCCCATCCCCAGCCCGAAAGCACAAAAGTGTGCCTGGAAAACTGAAGTATGAATTAGACTTTAGGCCAGGGGTCACCAACATGGCGCCCGCGGGCACCAGGATGCCCCCAAGGACCACATGAGTCGCCCCGCGGACCTGTTCTAAAAATAGCACAACTCACAAGTGAGCAGCGTCTAAAATTTAATTTGATCCTGTTGCTATTCTTCTTTAATCACATTTGCATTTATATAGATTTGAAAGTGACAATATCTAAAAAAAGCATTGAAAACATGTTTATTATACATGATATAAGAAGAGTGTATCAAACTGGCAGCCCTTCGTATGGCTCAGGACCCGTGAAGTAGCTCTCAGTTTCAAAAAGGTTGGTGACCCCTGCTGTAGGCAGTCAAAGAAAATGCTTAAGGTTATTTATCTGGGTAGTCAATGTATATTAGCTCAGAAAAAAGAACACAATTTAACATTACAACATATGCAAATTCTCCTCAGGGGCACCTCAGCCATAACCATGTTAAATTTCACCATCAGCTCAGTCAATTAACTTAGTTAAACAACTCAATGAGGTATTGATTGGCCAAACAAGGTGGGGTGATGATCGAGTCAGAAAAGACAGGGGTTGCTGCAAATACCAGGTTGACTTTAGGAGAAGTTTTGAAATGGCTAAGCTAACACACTATTACAGATATAATATCATAGTTTTACACCAACATGAGGATAATTTAAATATCATTCAGACTTTTGCAGAGTACTGCAGTAACTGCAGGGTGAATAATATTTTTGTTTATTAAAACACAGCACACACTGGGTTTACCCACTTCCCTCTCTGCAGTATAAATTAATTAGATTTTTTTTTAAGGTATTCATTGAAATTAAAGTGTGTTTATGGTTAATGCGTTAATCTGTCATAACCATATGTTTCTGATACCTCTAATGAAGTTGTTATAGACATGGGGCTGGGTGGGGGCAACAAGGGGGTGGAGATAAGGGCTATAAAATAAGAGTGTGAAGGACAGCAGAACCAATGTGTTTGACAGACAGAAACAAAGACAGTTATAGTGAGGAATTATAAGCAGGCTTATAGGTTAGTTACGCATAGTAACTAAGACATTTTGGAGTAGCATGAAATGTGTATCAGAAGGAGGAATAGAAGAGAATGAAGTGCACTTTAAACTCAGTAGAAGAAAGTGACACTGGAGTTCAGCCTGCAGGGATTCGGATCCTCCGCACATTTCAGATGAAGAATAAATTGGTCCGAGTCGGTTTGGCAGAAACCCTTAGTACTTATGTCATGATGGTAAGTTGAAATCTCACGGTACATTAGACCTATTTTACAATAGTCGTAGGATTAAAATGTTACAAAAATCCAAATGTGCTGAAGCCTGAACTCGCTTTATATTCCGAGTTTTATTCCTTATGTTGGCTTTAGCAAAGTATCGGCCGTTTATCAGCTGCTGTCTGTAGTACTGCTGGCACGTCCATAAGTCTAAGTTCTTTTTTTAAACCGTATGTCACAGACATTGCTGTAATGGCCTCTCAGTTATGATCAGCTGTTTTCTGACTCGCACCTTAATGTTTCAAATGTGTAGCTGAAAAAAGAATCATTGCAACAGGGACATTGTGAAATACTAGAAGTGTAGCTAGAAGTGTAGCTGTCATGAGGAGAGGTTAGCGGAACTGAATCTGTTTAGCCTTGAGAAAAGGAGACTAAGGGGGGATATGATTCAGGTCTATAAGATTCTAACGGGTCTGGATGCTGTTCAGCCAAATGACTATTTCAATATTAGTCTAAATACTAGAACTCGTGGCCATAAGTGGAAATTAGCGGGAGAACATTTTAAAACAAATTTGAGGAAGCACTTCTTTACACAGCGTGTAGTTAGAGTATGGAATAGTCTTCCTGCTAGTGTAGCGGAAGCTAAAACCCTGGGTTCCTTTAAATCAGAGCTAGATAAGATTTTAACAACTCTGAGCTATTAGTTAAGTTCTCCTCAAACGAGCTTGATGGGCCGAATGGCCTCCTCTGGTTTGTAAATTTCTTATGTTCTTATGTTCTAAACACAAACACCGCTTTATGGATTCAGTACTTGCTCATTTTTTTAAATTCCCCAGTTTGGTTTCCTTTCCAGGCTACTGACTGTGTTACGACACACATAGTTTTCCAGGTTTATCAGATAATTTATAAAGTGGAATTTAATTAATTAAAACATGTCTATGTGTGATAGTCTTTACTGCCATTTTTAAATAGATTATGAAAATGCTCTTTATTCATTTATTATGCATCATATGCTAACTGACCTTAAGAAATCTGATATTAAAATAGCAAAATCCTCCTTGCATTTCCCAGTTCTACAGCTGTGTACCAAACTTCAATAAAAGATGAATCATCGATTCAATTTTAAAGAATAATTTTATTTGAAATTACTGAGCAAATTATAACCTTTTTGTATTAAAATGTGAATTACAAAAGCACCAGTGTTTATTGACAACACGTTTACTGTCTTTCATCATCATCTTTGCACGTTTTTCCAGGTGAGGCTCCACATGCTAACTGGACTTGATTCATTCTGCCCCCTCCTGCATTGCAGGTCTTTGGCTTGGGCTCTGTGGCCCAGGTGGTGACTGGTGGTGGGTTGTTTGGGGATTACCTGAGCATCAACCTCGGTTTTGGCTTAGGTGTCACCATGGGAGTGCACGTTGCCGGCCAGGTATCAGGTACAATATTGGAAATTGAATTGTTGCCTTTAGGTTGGCTTTTCGGGGATACCCATGCCTACCGATCCTTCTTATCCTTGCCCTCAGGTGCCCACATGAACACTGCCGTCTCCTTCACCATGTGTACATTTGGCCGTCTTGGCTGGAAGATGCTTCCTCTCTACATAACAGCACAAATGCTGGGCTCTTTCCTGGCAGCTGGAAGAGACTCAGAAGGTTGCTGATTTAAATCCTGTGGTCAGCAGAATGATACAAGGCCCTTATACCCAATTCCTACAGGGACTGCCTGACCCTACTTTCTCCTCTATGCCAGTTCCACCCTGTACTATGGTGTGTAAATCATTCTGCTAGACTGTTAATCATGAACAGAGAACATTTTGTTTACACAGTCATCCTGAGACTGGAAATTCCAACTTTATTCACCTTGTTACACAAGGATGTGTAATTGGGTTTTGTTATGTTATTTCTTTAAGTTGTAGAGCAGGGGTCTTCAACTCTGGTCTTAGAGAGCTACTATCCAGTAGGTTTTCTATCCTTCTGATGAGCTACACCTCTTCTCAGGTAAATACCAGGAACAGGTCACACATCACAAGCCTGGTAGGATAGAAAACCTACTGGATAGTAGCTCTCCAAGACTGGAGTTAGAGACCCCTGTTGTAGAGTATGGAGATCCCTGTTGTAGAGTAAGGACCATAAATGATACTTAACCTGAATTGTTCCATTTAAATATCCAGCTGTACAAATTGATAATCATATATTACTTTGGGCAATTGGCCAAGCAATCAAAATGCAAAATTAAATGGCAAGTGCCTTGCATATAATTCTAAACTATTTTTTTCTGTGTTCTCAGATGCAATGTTTAAGTTCTGCAGCGGTAATTTCACTGTGTCTGGGCCAAAAGCCACAGCTGGAATCTTTGCGACTTATCCTGCGCCATACATCTCCATCCATGTGGGCTTCTTAGACCAGGTAAGTGCAGCTGTACCTGTATGCCATGATCACATGACACAATGGCCATCTCACAATGTGATTCATGGGACTGAGTACATCTTGGCTGTAGGGCCAACGCGTCCTCAAAATATTGCTCCAGTGGTAGCTGAAGGAGGAAGGAGTTCTCTGGCCAGACAGCACGTGTCACAGTTACCTTATAGCGCTATTCATAGGATGGTTATTCTGCTCTGGACCGCAGGTGCTGGGCACAGCCATGCTGCTGCTGTGCCTCATGGCCCTATCGGACCAGCAGAACTCCGCCCCTGCTCCCGGCACTGAGCCCCTGCTTGTCGGGCTTTTAGTGCTACTCATTGGTATTTCCATGGGTAGCAACAGTGGCTATGCTATTAACCCTTCGCGGGACCTGGCACCCCGTGTTTTTACGGCCATGACTGCCTGGGGACAGCAAGTGTTCAGGTATGAAGCTTTTACTTACGGCATACGTGTAACTGGGTCTGCCATGTGACTTATGTTATTTGATGCCATGTGACTTTCAGCTTCTTATCAGTCCCGCTCATCCGTGACTGCATGTATCCGTTTTAGCTTTATGCTATTCCGTTGCTGCCTCGCGATGTGATGCTGTGTTTCTGTTTACCTCTGACCTCCCACCCCTCTCTCTCTCCGCAGAGCTGGAAACGGCTGGTGGTGGGTGCCAGTGGCAGCCCCTCTGGTGGGAGGGCTTTTGGGAGGCGTGGTCTACAAGCTTTTTGTGGAGCTGCATCACCCACGGGAGGCACCTAGATGTACAGAAAGTGGTGTAGAGTTCCTGGATAACAGGGGTCACCCAGGGGAGGCTATACATATGGACAATGATGATGCTGTGATGCTGGGGCAAGTGTGCCTAGGAACAGGAGAGTAGGGTATGAGTATGGAGCAGGGGCAGTAAAGTAACATGTCTGTGTTTATAGATGATTCCATCTGTAATTCCAACTGGGACCATTAGTGCCAAACAGCCTGCATGGGTATGGATGATGCTTTTGGCTTCGCCTCCAGCTGAGGCTAAGAAAAAAAACAGGCTTTGTGCATCTGTAAATACTATTGCCATATGCTGCCCAGAAGCGGAGAAATGAGCTCCAGCCACATGAACAAGACGTGCTTCCTGATTTAGGAACACAGTCAGAAGCTGCTTTCTGTTAAGGTGACCTAGCAACACATCTGCAAAAGTGCAAGAGCAGGTACAATGGAAGGGCAGGGTGACTGGAGAAAAGCACATGGTTGTAGAGAGAGTCAATGGCCTAGCTTCTACGAGGTTCAAATGAGGTCTAAGTATTTATACACTCAACACAACCACATGAACAAATATGAACAGAGACCACGAACCATTTGAAATTAATTATGAGAGATGCTTAGAATAGCCCATTACCCTGAACAGAATGAGTGGTTAGAAGATGAATATGCTTGGACTGTTATGTTCAGCACTCGAGAAGCTTCTGAAGATGGGCACCCCTCCCAACCGGGTGCTACAAACAGCGATCAACCTGGTCCTACACATTATGGAAAGTTGACGTTTGCTATGTTCTTCAGGTGAAGAGACCAATTTCAGCATTTATCAGATAGCGTGACAAATGCCCTTTTATCCAAAACCATGACTGTGTGCCCTCCGCTGGGGTCAAACTATCTGACATTAACCTGAAGTGGACACTGATTTAAGAAAAGAGACATGAAACGAAGACTCTTTAGATAGAATAAAAAGTCTTTAGCATGAAAATGGTCAGCTTTCCTTAGTTCTGAGGCATAAACAAACTTTATTATTATTAAAGTCATTATTATTAATTCATTAAGCAAATTCATTAACATTCTGTGCAATGAGCGAAGGCGTCTCACTGAGACTGGCATGCATGCAATAATATTTACTCTGCACATGTTGATGTGAGGACCGGAGGGGCTTGTGGAATCATTACCCTGCATAGCAGCATTATCCCAGGAGGGGACAGCTCACCGCTTGGTCCCTCCATATTTCCCCGAGCCCTTTTGGGCTGTACTGCTTGATGTGCTGGTGCCCCCAGTGTGCATGGGGGTCTTCTTCTTTAGCAGAGGCTGCTTTGCTTTTTCCTGGAAGACTTTGCTGGGGTCCAGATTGTTTATGATGTGCTCTGCAGGCATCTCACTCTGAGCATCACCCTGCCAGATGAGCGGCTGGTACAGACACGTCCACTGCTGGAGATTAACAGATATACTGTTACACAACTGCGCAGATTGCTTCGGGATTACTGGTAAACCGGTTGGTGTATCTTAAGCATCCACTACACACTGAGTCGTATTTAAAGGCAGGTGGCAGTGTATAGAGTGTAGCATATTTTAGCTTATTTCAGTCATTGCTCCTGATTACAGTGGATATAAAAAGTGTACACACCCCTATTAATCTCTACATTTTTGTGATGTAAAAAAAAAATGAGATCACGATAAATTATTTCAAAACCTTCCCTTCCCCACCTTTAATGTGACCTAAAACCCGTACAAGTCAATTGAAAAACAAACAAATCTGTTAGGGGAAAAATTAAAAAACAGTATAATGAGCTGGTTGCATAAGTGTGCACACCATTAAACTAATACTTTGTTGAAGCCCTTTACTTTGTTTTAATTACAGCATTCAGTCTTTTTGGGTGCACGTCTACCATCAATTAAAGTGATGCACCTTTTGCAGTGCATGTCAGAATGACATCAAATTACATTGTTGTTTTCATCTTTGGGGTGGTTCCTGTTTTAGTGGAACCGGTACTCACTGATGCTCAGAATTTAAGGCTGTATTGATCCCTCCAAACTCTGATTAGCCCCAAATAAACTTCAGCCATCCTAGTAGGATTTTACTCAGTTGCATCCTATAGCAAAAGCTGTGGTTTGCAGAGATCTTACAAAGCATCAAAGGGATCTCACTGTTGAAAGGTATCAGTCGGGGGAAGGGTACAAAAAAATTCCTTGGCGTTAGACATGCCATGGAACACAGTGAAGAACAGGATGTCCCCCCAAAATTGATGACTAGATCAAAACTGGTCAGGGAGGCTGCCAAGAGCCCAACAACAGCACTGAAGGAGCTGCATGAAATTCTGGCAAGTACTGGTTGTTTACTACAATCTCCCGTATTCTCCATATGCCTGGACTATGGGGTAGGGTCGCAAGACGGAAGCCTTCTCCTACAAAGAAAAACATCCAGGCCCGGCTAAATTTAGCAAAAAAATACATCAAGTCTTCCAAAAGCATGTAGGAAAATGTGTTATGGTCTGAGGAAACCATCCATCCAACTCATGAAACCAAATGTCCTATTCAGGGTCATGGGGGGGGGGTCTGATGCCTATCCCAGAGACTATGGGCACAACATAAGAACATAAGAACATAAGAACAATGGGCACAAGGCAGGGAACAACCCTGGACAGGGTGCCAACCCATTGCAGGGTAACACCCCCGTTGATGAAACCAAGGTTGAACTTTTTGGCAACAATTCCAAAAGGTAGGTTTGGTGCACATCACCAAAAGGACACCATAGCCATGGTGATGCATGGTAGTGGCAGGATCATGCTTTGGGGTTGATTTTCTTCAGCTGGAACTGGGGCTTTAGTCAAGGTGGAGGAGATCATGAACAGTTCCAAATTAATTTCATTCATATTGCTTAATTCATGCTGCTAAAAGTAAATTACGATATTTAGAAATGTTGGTCTTTATTCTGATTTTTCATTGCTTTTGAAGTTTAAATTAAGCTGTGCTTCTGACTGAAGTGGCTGAACTGATGTGTCAGCATAACAATCCACGTACTGTAGCCGATATTTCGGTGAATAGCACTAATAAGTAATTACAATCACATGCTAGGCAAAACGCTGTTACAGCTATTGGGAAATGAATATGGAGGATAATATGTGAATGAAATTACATGCAAGTACTTTTACTATGTATTATTTTGCTTTTTCAAGTGCATGTCAGAATTACATCAAATTACATTGTGCTTCTCATCTTTGGGGTGGTTCCTGTTTTAGTAGAACAGGTACTCACTGGTGCTTTAGGCTGTAT